TGTATACCAGACCTAGGTATCTATACTCTAAGGACTCATATAATTAATTAATTTATGCTTATCCGGCTGTTAGTTAATTATATATACCTAGCAGCAGAGATTCTACTGCACTAGCTTCTGTCGAAGTATCTCCTCGGCCGTAGTATAGGCCTATCGATCCTAGTAGATCTAGTTAGTAAGTCTTATACGGGTAATATCCTGCTACCGGAGTATATATTATATAGTTAGTAGGACTGTAGAAGGTAGGGAAGAGTTAACAAGAGGATTAAGAACCTCAGAGGTAGGGGAGAAGGATAGACAGAAAGATAATTAAGTAATAGGCGTAGGCTATTATAGTAGGCAGGCGTACAGTAGTATACTTAAGGGAACGTAGACAGAGGTATAGGTTTTGCTAAGATATATATCGGTAGGGGGATCGTAGTGCGGGGGTAGGGTCTCTGTAATATATCAGAGTAGGGTCCCTACGTCTAAAAGAAGAGTAATAGGTAAATCTCTTAGTACTAGATCTAGGTCTATAGGCAGTAGTAGGTTATCTAAAGAGAGAGAGAGAAAGTTGACTAGGGACGGTACAGTAGAGAGCAGATTAGCTAGGGTAGGTAAGAAGATCTAGGGCAAACTAGGGACCGAAGACAAAAGGTAATCGTACGATATATCTAGGGTATATACCTTACAGAGTATCTCAGCGGTAGGCTTAGATACCGTAGTATCCTAATAGATAGTCTGTTCCTGGCCGTCTAGATAATGATTAAGCAGTACCTAACGGCAGGCGGATACTCAGTCGTTAACTACTGTCGGATAATCTTAGCTTTATCTAGTAGAATCTTCTTAGCTAAGACCTAAGGAGGTAGCTAATATATCGTACGAGGTTAAATCAGAATAGCCTTACTAGGTTAGCTATCTCAACCTATACGGCCTGTTTCCTAAGTATAATCAAGCAGACTATAGGGCCAGCCGATATAGATTACCGTACGAATATTAGGGATATCTATACCAACCCTAAGGGCACTAGTCGCCACAATAATTATATTCTTTGTATAACAAAAGCGTGCTAGAATTCCTTTCTGGTTAATCTATTAGCAAGATATCCTAGTAGCATTAGTTATAATACAGGAATAGAAGGCCTTATAGCCTAGAAGAGATACCAGTAAGGTTACCTAGGGGACTGTTAAGGTATAGATAATCGTATAACCAGAAGTAGCGTAATGCCGGTAAGACTAAATAAGATATACAATCTAGGGATCCTGTATCTACTACTCTAAGCCCTAGTAGGCCGGATCGGTTTCCGGCCAGAAAGAACGGTAGGTAATATTAGGGTAGGTCGTACAACTATAGTAGAAGTAGGCATAATTATAGGTATAGTAAAGCCGCTGCTAAAAGGTATTATAGAGACTAGAGAGCAGAGTAGTAGTCAGAAAGACAGTTTAGACGTTGATATTCTAGAGCTAGCCTAGCTACGTAAGTTGCAGACGAAAGGTATTACTATTATTAAGGACTATATAGTATTTGTTGATTATAACCTGATCCAGACAATAAAGGATTACCTAACGGTTTAGGAATATACGAAAGATAACGGTTAGAGCAGATTCTAGGATAACCAGGATAATCAAGGCTTTATCTAGAGGATAGTAGCTTTCCTATTACGTACAACTAATGCTAAGGCTTATACAACGATTAAAGAGCTCTTTACAAAGGGCTACTAAAGGGACTACTACTACTATCAGACCCTTAGAGATCCAGACAGAAAGCTAAAAGAGAAGACTCTTTCCCCTGCCTATCGGTATTACAGCTATAATCAGGCTATATCTATGCTAGATAGTCTATAATACCTCTAACTGCTTCCCCTAGAATCGTACAGAGGGATTACCTAAGAAATTCTATAAAGTATCCTACAGATTACAGATAGCTAGTTTATATTAGCGGCTAATCTGGTGCTCCTGCTGTTTATTCTCCTAGGGGGGTATATTTTCGTTTCTTATTCCCTTGTACGGCAGTAGTCTTAGGATTAACAAAGCTAAGAAACTAGTGCTAATCCTGGCTAATATAGCGAAATATCGTATAATGAAAACCTATCGTGCCCGGGGCATTATAAATCTAACGGGCGTATATTATCCCTATAATATAGGAGGAATACCCTGCCTACAGATCCTAGAAGCTCTCCTCTGGATTTGCCTCATTATCTACAGTCTTATCTATCTCTTCTTCGTTATTAGTATTCTAGAGAAAAGCACTATTTATACGAAGAAATTAGCGACTAAGAGCAATCGCAATATGCCGCTAGAAGGCAATATTCATAATCTGCCCCTATAGCCCTAGTCGAGATTTACGCTAGAGCACCTCCCGAAGCTGATCCGAGATCTACGGCCGCTAGCTCAGAGGATCTGGCCCCTAGAGTAACGCTGTACGAGCAGTAGTGGGCTGCTTATCTACCGGAAGGATTAAGGTATCAAATCACTCTACCAACGGTAAAACTAACCAGAGATATCGTACGAGAAGGGTACCAACTGCGTACGGAAGATATTAATAGATAATCTTAGGGTTGTTGCTTATATAGAAACCTTTATAATATCGGGTAGCAATCACTACCTGACTATCCTCGATAAATATATTACGATGGGCGTTAGTAGTATTACGATATCGGACGGAGAGGATCTTAGGGGCTCGTACCGGTTGGCCACTATAGAGATAGATTAATACGGCCAGTTTCTCCTAGAAGAGGCTTACCTAGGTTAGATATCGCTTAATTATACTCGTACGAAAAGCAGGTATAATTAGTATCCAGAAACCGCTGCCGGAGCTAAGGATCAGAGCGAAGGCAGCAAATTAACTACTAATTACTACTAACTGGCTAATTCGTATAAGAGTCGTATAAAAAGCTCTAGCCAGGCTTTGTCTCCGAGGGATCGTCGGTAATCGTAGCCTAGAGAACTAATAGGGCTTTAGTAGCTAAGGAGAGAAGGAGTAGATCAGATAAGAGTAGATCCTTACACATCTGTACTAGGCTATAGATCCAGCCACGCAGATTACCTGTTGTAAAGCTTAGCTGTTTATACAGAAGCCGATCAGTGCCTACCAAGCCGATATACCCTAGTTAAGTTGTGCTAAAGCTAACCTTTATACCGTACGTACAAAGGTCTAAGATCTACTAGAATAGGAAGTTAGTACCCCGGAGCATAAAGCTCTTTATAATCAGATAGACCTATTCCTAAAAGGTTTTAGTCGTACAACGGTACTAGCTAAAGGGGAGAGGCAGGGGAGAGGAGGAGTTAGGGGAAGAGAGGATAACTAATAGGGAGGGACTCTGATATCCTTTATCCTCGTATAAGAGATAATACTCAGGGTTATCTAGTAGGCTAACCAGATCAAAGTTGTAGCGGGTATAGTCGCCCTAGAAATATCGTACGATCTGGTCTATATATAGATCCAGCCAGAGCGCCTGGCCTAGGACTATACAATAAGTAAGCTTGACTAGAGTATATTTATACTTATCCATACCTACTCGCTGGTTAAGGAGCTCTAGGCAAAAGCCTAGGCAGACCTTCTCTAGTAGCCGAAAGTAAAATAGAGAGGGGAGAGGGGTAGAGGTAGGGCTTATACGATTATAATTACTCGTATACAGATCAGAAGATTAAGACTATAATTAAGAGGATATAGCTAAGGCCTAGAGGGTTTCCCATACCTTATATTACTGACAGTTAAACCGGTAATAGGGAAAAGCAGGGTATAAAGGCTCGGTTAGCTGTTATATACGAGCAAAGAAGCAGATTATCTGCTGCTATAATGTCAGATAACGGATAATTACTTTAGAGTCTATATAGGCCTAGAGCGGCTGCCGGGGTACTTAATCAGTCTCTGTTCGGACAACCTTAACGCAGATTAGATAGCCATATTATTTGATAATCTGCTAGCTCGTACAAGCTATACAATCTATAGCTTAGTAGATTACCTAGAGAGAATCTAGGGGATCAGATGCTAGTAGCTTAATCAAAGTGTACAGGGCCTCCGGAAGTTAACCGGCCAGATATTAAGTCTATCTCGTCCGACAAAGCTATAGGGTAGCCTTATTAATCTTAACCGTCTCTACCGTACGATCAGACGGTTAAAAGATCTGCTAGTATTACTGTTCTAGCTAATCAAAGAGATAATCAATAGTAGAGGATACTGATTCTGGCTCCTCGGATTCTGATCGTACGGGGTTTATTACTATAAAATAGTAAGAGTTAGGCCCTTAGCGATAGAGACACTGGCAATAAACAGAGTAAGTATATAGTTAGATCTCTTACTTAGGTAAGGGTAGAGAGGTTAAATTAGTAGATAGTTAATCTAAGGGCTTATTAAAGGCATACCAGTAATAGCTAGTTCGCCAGTGTTGTTTCATACCCTTTCTTATACGACAGACGTAGGAACATAATTAGCTGCAACGACAAAGAATACTATCTTAATATATAGGAAGGACATCAAAAGGTAGAGGCCGAGAGGGAATTTAATCAAAGTAAAAGAGGGATAGTAACTATAGCCAAAGGGTAGAAAGATATCGGTGAATCTGAGTAGCCGTACAACTAGAAATAGAATGTAAAGAGGTCAAATAAGCTATAACTTAGTTTAATCATACGGCATATTGACACCTATAGCAGATAAGTACTGGTAGGGTATAGAGAGGAGTAAAAATCTCCTGTGTAAGGGCGGGGATATTAGTTTCTATTATAAAGTATTGAAATTTGGTAGTGGTAAAAAAGTACCAGGAAGTGACATACAAAGTAATATTATATATTCAGGGGTCGTACGTTAATATTAACCTGTTATCGAGATTATAAAGTAGGTCTAAAACCCTAGGGTGGAGCTTCCCGGTCGCACCCCATCCAAAAATATTTAGAGTTTTGATAATTTAGGGTTGACTCGTACAATAGCTACAGAGAATAGTAGAATCTAAAAATTAAACTGGGTATACATTAGATATAAACTTAGAACTTATTAAATTTTCAGAGTAATCAGCCGAAGGAAACTCAGGGCTTTGGGGGTAGGAAAAGAGAGGGCTTTGGGGGTGGTGGGGCAAATTCTGCCCATATATAAGAAATCTTGACCGCTGGGCTTTGGGGCCCAAAGCCCCAACCCTTTTGGGATAGTGGGTTCGGACCGGTATCCTCTGCAAGATTGTCAAATTGATTGTTGATTCTGTTCCAAAGTTGCTCAGCCTTTCGTTTAGCATTGCCAAACATAGTATCTTCCACACGCCCATTCATCCATAATTGGTATCGTGATGAAAGGTCCGTCTCAGGCATGAGGCCTGGGTTATCTGCATGATTCATCTTGCTGTACTCATCAACATAGATGCTTGTTCTTATCAGAACGGAATCCAAACAGATATGTTTAAGAATAGACTTACAACGCAGAATATATCCTATTGTTCGAAGCATCCATACTTGCCCAGACCTCATCCATAGACCAGACATCGCAGGACATTGCGATCTCTGCTAGGAAGTTGATCAAAGTCTTGAGCTTCTCTCGTCCGCTCCCGGCATCTATCGGAGGTACTGTAGCATCATTTGATTTACCTCTGCCCCAGAATTTTCCGTCACTGAGCTTTTGTAGTTTCTTATATCGGTCGTTGAACATTTTACTGTCTCCAATCTAAGGTATTCAGCATCAGGGAAACTTCACGACAGTCAGGAGTCTTACCAATCCCTTGATTTGATCATTCACCTCATGGGTCATACCGACGAAGTCCCAAGCATCGTTGTTCGCGATTCCTCGGAGAACCATTCCGAAGAGATCTGGGTGACCACTACAACCCGGAGTGAAGAAAACTTGGTTGAATTCCTCACATGTGGGGCCCCCATTCCCAATAGCTGCCGAGTAGAATTCCGTTATCCAATTGCGCTCCCCTTGAAAGAAATAAGACGTTAGTATAGAGACTGGGTAATAATTAGAGCTTGATGTGACTTACAAACGTGATCATTTGTCGGCTGCTGGTAGTCTATCTCGAGTTTCATTGCGGCAGCTTGCGATTCCATGCCACTCTGCGCCGAGAGCGACGCATACGATGAACTTCTTGCGGATGTTAATGAAGTCATGGCCGCATCGTTAACTGAAGTTATGGTTGGCACACAGTCTGCCGTTATCTTAGACAACCATCGTGGCATCTTGAGCTTATCGGCGTCTAGTTGTCCAGCGACAGCCTCATCAAGGAACCTGCCACCGCCAGACCAGGTGATTGTTGCCGCAGTTGGTACTGGAGGACATCTGCCCGCCTTAGGTAATCTCCAAGTTGCATAGCCATCATCACGCTTCTCAAGATCGCGTTTGTTGGGATCGGGGTTTGAAGGATCGAAAACTCCGACTGTGCTCGGGCTATCTGGCCAGAAGCAGGGCTTACAGCCTTGGAAGGGGTCCATTCCATCGGGGGACGTCGGATAGGACGGGAATGAAGTCGGGCAAACGTCTGCCTCGGATTCACTAGTAATAGTTGTAGTTGTTCCAGTTGCAGTGCAGCCCATAGTTGGTACGCAAACAGAACTTGTACAGGATGTAGTTGTGATATGAGCCGCGTTGGTAGTCACAGTGCAATATTCGGCGCAGTTTGTGGCCGTCTTAAGCTCGGAACACTCTGTCTCAGTTGATCGAGGGTTCTCACCGCATTGGCCAGCCTCACAACCCCCTGCGCACTCCTGCAGAGGACAAGAATCACCACCACAACTCTCACATCCGCCGCCACATCCAAGGAGACCACAGCCGCCACCGCAGCCGAAGATACCGCAGCCGCCGCCGCAGGCAAAGGTACCACATCCACTATCACAGCCAAAGTCTTTGCAATCATAGGTACCGCAGCCCTCACAACCTGCAGTGGTCGTGGGAGTCGGACTACCACTGCTATATGTGACGAAGGGAAGAGTGATGCTGGGAGTTAAAATAGAGATTGTGGGTTGTGGTTAGAGAGTAACAGTATGCCTTGTTGTGAAGAAGAGAGGTGCAATTGTCCTGTCAGATGAAGTTAAGGCTGAGGAATGAGAAGATTAAGAAGAAGTTGAAACACCGGTCTTTGTTGAAGTGCCTGTCGGAGATGTCGGCTCTGGGGAGGTCTCTTCAGGCGTTGGCAAGGGGCTTGGAGGAAAGGTCGCTTCTCCCGGTTCCAAGGTATAAACAAAGGGAGGCGGTTTGATACTTTGGGTCAATTTAATTGTTACAGTGCCGGTGTCCGTTGCTTCAACAGTAATGGGCCAGATATCGATATACTCAGTGACGAAAGCCTCGACTGTGAGGATCTTTGTCTTGGTCGAAACAAATTCACCACTGGTACTGTAAAGGAACAAAGTTGTCCAGTTTGGCCATGCAACGGTAGCATGTAAGTTTATAGGGTACGGAGGCATGACAAATGTGTATGGAGGTTCACAGGCGATGGCTGGCGACTGTTCTTGCCAGAGGGTTAGAGCGATATAGAGCAATTCACCACCGTTACCCCCACCACTTTCCCCTTCGCCATTACTATACTGCTGGAGATCAACAGCCCAATCGGAAGTTCCGCCCATTTTCAAATTTTTGTAATAGTTGGTGCGTGAGCTTTTGGTGTCATCATCCATGTATGCAATCCATTGGTCGGTGTCGAAGACCACGATATTAGAATCACTCCCTTGATCATAAGTCTTCTTGGCTGTCTTGTCACTCTTGAGGATTTCATTGATTTCAGCATTGGAGATGTAGCCAGCTGTGTCGGTGCATCGACCTTTCTTTGCTCCAGACTCGGGGCCAGTGAATGCGCAATCTGAACCGGTACAACCTGCCTTTGCCATCTGAAAAGACCGACCATAACTGGAAACCCCGACAACGACTTTGTGGGAAGGAACACCCGCTTTGGTCACCATGGAGAGACTGAGTCTTGTTTCTGTCAGGTTGACATGCGATCGCAAGCAGCCGGTATCCACGTTTGGACAATCAGGTACAGCCCAGTGATGATTGTAGTCCCATTGCCCGTGAAGATCATAGGTCATGTAAATAATATAGTCAACCACCTTTGACATCTCGCTGATGGGGAAGCCTTTGAGATACCAGAAAGATGCCGGTGTTGCTATTGACAGAGTACGTCCCTTAGGCAAACTTCCCTTCACTTCTTTGAGGAATTGCAGATAGTTTGGGCCATCGCTCTTGCTGCCTGCTGGAATGCCAGGGATATCAGGGGCACTCGGATACTCCCAGTCAAAGTCCACACCATCAAGATCATGCTCATCTAAGAAGTCAACGACATTCCGGGCGAACTTCTTGCGGTTGGCTTCTGTAACCCCTTGACGAAAGATAGGAAAGGAATCCTGAGATGTTGAGAAAGACCATCCGCCAAAAGACAAAACTCGTTTGACTTCTTTCAGGGCAGTGAACCTCTGGAACTGATCCTCAATGCCGCTAACATTGATACCATAGCTGCTGCTTATCTGCGCAAATGCGAAGTGCACATGTGTATATTTTGAAGTGTCAAAGCTGGCAATGTCCATATTTAGACATGACCGATCCCAGTTGAAAGCTTCAAAGTAGCCAACTCTACAGAATTCATCCGGCCCTTCATCGTTGTTGACAATATCAGTTCCACAGTGGGAAATACAGCCGTTCGAGCCGCCCTTGGCAGTTCCTGGCGCTCCGGTCGTGGATTCACTAGCTGTGCAAAAATCCCTAGTGATTCCACACTGGCCCCAGATGTCACAATATGCATTGAGCGGGCAAGGATTGAGAGATTCAAGAGGTGTGCCATCTGTAGGTCTTTTTGTGTCGTTCATCTGTGGTCCACAAACAGCATTTGGCACAGTAGCAGGCATCGGGGGATCACCACTGCTCAAACAGATAGTTGATTTGGCCTGTAGATCACCACAACCCATCCAGCCCCAGGTGTTTTTGTTAAAAGTTTCGAGCTGTTCTTGAGTAATCAAATAAGCTGCAGCAAGCGTAGAACATGTATCCACTGATGTGACGTAGTGGCTTTTACAGGTTCCATCAGAGTTCGGCTTTGGCGCAAAGTCAGGTAGAGTGCCGGCAGAGCAACAGACATGTCTCCCAAGCATAAGTGGATCGCACAAATTCTTGTCAGGGTTGTACTTTTGAAAGTCTGCGAGGGAAATACCACATTCAGCAGCTACTTTCGCGCAATAATCACCACCGCTGACCTGAATTGTCGAGCATGTTCCGCGAGCATGAATGTGAGAGTTTCTATGGGTAAATAAGCGGCGGCGTCCGGCCGCATAACTTGTTCTATTGATAACCCGAACCTGAGATATATCCAATTCAATCGGCGGTAGCTCCTTAGTCTCGTCAAATCCAGACTGGCAAGTACCTTCAGTCTACTGGCGAACGACATCCTGAGCGGATGCTAGATCGCCAGAAGTGCTGATAAAGATACCGAAGATATGATCCGAGTCAAGACCACAGTATTGGAGAATACTTCGGGGCGAGATACTTTCCGCGTCGACATGCTGAATCAGCTTGGATAAAGACGCAGATGCTCCATCCTTTTTGATACTTTGACCGATGTGCATACCCACAACAGTGTTGTTTAAGATAGCAAATAGAGTCGTAAAATCAACAATTTTGGGTGGTAAGGTCATGCTGCTCTGCAATTTCTGTAGGGCAATGCGGGCATTGGAGCTAGGTTGGTCTGCTGGTCCGTGTGATCCGTATTGGAAGGTGACTTCTTTCCCGGGGCTTGACAGCGTTGAAACAACTTTAGATAGCGAGAGAGCTCCATCAGAACTTTTGTTTGATACGGTATATGCCCGAATCGTGACATGACCATCCTGTCGATGGAGAGTATTATGCACAGACAGGTCCATGAGCATAGTTTGATTGCAAGCAGTCAAGAAATTGATATCATGATAGGAATCCCACTCAGATGACTCGGTAGTTCCATCACAGCTACTTGGACAGGAGCGCCAATCGGAGTTCCATTGGCTGCTCTCTGTAGAAGTAGCAGAGCTGTCCGCTATAGAGCTTTTGGCCGCCAAAACGACCAAAAAGCCGTTGAACAAGATTGACAGACGCATTTCGCCTCCGCGAGATATTCTTAGCTCTGAATAAAAGACTGATGCGGTCAAATTTGAGATAAAACACAGAGGAATTCGGCCCGCTTTTAAAGCCAGCTTCGTTTTCCTAGATGTTTCATTTTATATTATCACGCACTCCGACCCGCCATTGCAGTTCTGGGTCTCAGCAAGACCCTTTGCCTAAGAGTAGTAACCTAGTTCAACTTAGTGTGATGTATTAGCGTGTCAAAACTAGGATTAGGGCCGGACAAAAATACATGTTACTTTGTAGGAGAGGGGTCCGTCCAGATGAAAATCAGACACGAGGCAAATTAGAGGGTATCAAAGCATCTGGAGCCGAAGATGAGCTTTGCCAGACAAAATTGAAGCCTTTAGTCCCTGCCGATCATTTCTTTAATTGCTTACATAACCGAGAACTATGTAGCATTAGATACTCGTATGTACTGTTAGAATCAACTTAAGGACCGAGGTTCGGCGAAGCAGAATTAGTAGGTACGGATAAATGGGGCTCGTGGCGAATGAAAACATGGTTCCAAATGGGTAGATCGATTTATTACTAGCCAAACCCGATGAACGAGCCCCTTGAAAGTAGGGCTAATCAAAAGATTAGCGTCTTACTTCAATCCAGATTTACTCCGATCAGACGTTCAAACGCGTTGATTACCTGCGCTTCCGTTTTCGGAGTGAAATTTTGCTTGTTCGACACTGCCGCTGTGCGAATATCGCCATGATTGTGAACGCTCGCTAGATATGATAAGTTGGAATTTGGGACATATTCCTCAATCACTCCCTTCCCGTTACATAATTGGGGGCGAAAGATTTTCTGTCCTAAGTGGACCCTGTAGCTTCACAAGGAGGTCGTTTGGCAAGAGCAAACTTCTTTCGTTACATCGTTCGAGGGAAATAGTAGAGAGATTTCGTGTACTCCACTAAGCGGCCCCTGCCGGAACACGGTGTTCAATAGAATAGGAGACTGCTCGTATGCATACCATACAATTCATGAAGCCAAGTAAGACAGAAAATGCTTGTTCGTTGAATTTAAAGCAATCATCTCGTTCTTCAGTCATCATGAGCTACTTTTTGTAGGTTGGGTTAGATACCTCTTCCGCCAGTAAAATCGACGTAGAAGCGGCCGCACGTCAACATCCGCTATACTTTCTAATCCTAACTCTGCCATATACTTGGCTCGCGCGAGCTCAGCCTGCAATTTTCCAAGCGGAATGCTCCGCCCATCCAGGCTTTTGAGCATAATTCGGACTAGCTCCTTGTTCCCGGTCTTCGATGCTTGTGCCAATAGAGTATCGCCATATTGTCCTTTCTTTCTTAAGGGATCTGCTCCCCGATTCAATAAGAGCTTAAATAACTCCACCTTCTCTTGCCTTAAAAAAAGGTCATGTAGAGGTGACTTGTCTTGCTCTTCGATCTCTATTCTGATCCCATGTGCCAGAAGCATGTCGAGAGTAGCGGACATAGCAACCAGATCCCCATCCGGCGAATCAACTAATGCCATGATGTTCGTATTTCCGATTGAAACCAAATTTCCAATGAGCTTTCTTTCGAATAGAAGGGCCAAGGTTGCATGATCTGCTTTGGAAAGCACGATCCGTAAGGCTTCAGCGACTTCGTGACTGCCCGGCAGAACTTGATAGCCGCTCTCGAGAAGATTCTCCATTATTAAAGCTCCCCCATGGGCAGCTGCTTGAAGGACTGACAGTTGAGAAGAGTTCTTAGCCGGTGTAGACTCTTTGAAACAAGGCAAGCGCCGTAGAAACTCCACCGTACTGAGATTTCCAACGGCCAGCGCCTGCACATAGACGGAACCCCTGTAAGTAGTGAAAGGACGGTCTGCCTCTAGTTCAGGGTTTGCTCCCTGGTCAAAAAGCAGTTTGATTATTTCAGTTGCATCAACAGCTTTGAAAAAAACAGGTATACGGCCATCTGTCAAATGATTCGGATTTGCGCCATTGTCTAGGAGCATATTGATAATCGGTTTATGGCGGCCGTCAATTGCTAATAGAAGTGGTGTTGGATCCCTTCCATTTAGCAACTGCTCCATACTTTGATTGGGTATGCAGTTGAGCAGAAGCTTAACGGTCGCAAAATGGTCGCGATGGGCCGCTAAAGCCAAAGGTGATGGATACTGCGCAAGGTTGAGATGCCTCGGTAGCGCAGGATTTTCTTTGACGCTCCAGAGAAATCGATTTGTGTGAAGAAATTCCGTTGAACAGCCGCGCCGAAGCAGATTCTCAACCAGGCAATTCCAGCCATATGCAGCGCTGATCATAAGTAGCTGCCGCTGATCCTCGCCATCAGTTTCACTATGTGCGACGAATGTACATAGATCCATAGAAAGTCTAAGATTCTCGACTATCAAGTAGTGTTCTTTTTTCACTGCCCAGATTAAAGGTTCGAGAGGGTATCCTGTCATGAAGTGTGTTGGGGATTTTCCATGCTCTAGTAGAAGATCCACTATATCTGCATGGCCTTGCTTAGCCGCCATCGCAAGAGCCGAGCTAGCAATACCAGGAGATTCTATTTCGGGTTTTTTCTCCAGCAAGAAATGAACAACATCGAAATGGCCCTCATGGGCCGCGTCAGCTAGAATGTTCGATCCAAACCAGCCCCTGATATAAGGATCACAGCCAAGATTGATCAGTAGCTTAACGATTAAAAGGTGTCCATTTCTTGCCGCAATCGCTAGGCCAGAAAGATCAACATCGTCCACACGTGAAGAGCGAATGTCTGGATGGACTCCATGGGAGATTAAGAGCCGAACAACACTCTCATGGCCACGGCCAGCCGCTAATATGAGCGGGCAGCCTTCGTCACCACTCTGGGACTCATAAGACGGTTCCTGCAGCCAGCTTTCGGTTGAACTCGGGTCGACTTCATAGTTCATCAACAAACGCACAACAGTCTCATGTCCATGAATGCAAGCAAGTGCCATAGGAAGCCACTCTTCAAAGACAGAGGCATTTGGAGAAGCTCCAGCTTCCAGTATATGTCGCGCAGATTTTTCGTATCCATTCTTAGCGGCCCATTCAAGAGCGCAAGCGTGCGAATTGCGCACATTTAATTGATAGAGTGAGTTATTCAGCAGCAGGTAAAGTCGTTTGCAGGTTTGGAGGAATGCATTGATGCAAAACTCATCATCCAGGAAATTTGCTATGTATGTCAAAAGCTCATTTGGCAAGTCCAGGAGTTTCATGTTGAATTGATTAGGTGAAAGAGCTCGACAATAGACAACGGTTGGTAATGTTGGTGAAGAACTTGGCGTGGCCTAAGGAACAATTAGGACAAATGCTGACATAAGCAACAGTTGACCCTCGAAGCCCCTCACGGTATTCCCAAAATATCCCCTTTTGCCTGTTAGGCTGGGCTCGCCCTGCATTACAGGGCGTGAAGCAAGCCACATTACACCAGGAAAGTTTCACGTTCAGGGCCCGGAACCCTTCGGCTTAGACGGCCCCTGACCCCTCCTGTTAGTGGATCATTAGTGGGGCATGAGGCAGCAGGCGATAACATAAAAAGCTTGAAACTTTCGCACTAGATAGCTAGTAAAAGTCAATTTTACGGCGACCTTGTCTTGTATTTCAGACGAATTGAAAAAGAAAATATGGTCAATATTGAGAATGCTTCATTGGAATTTCATTCCTTTGTATGTTCTCATTTATACGTTTACGCCCCAAAGCGTAAAGCATTCTGCTTCCATGTGATCTCACTAATCCAAAGGGGAAGCTTTTTGCATATCTTAATCACGTCAAACCCACAAGAAGACAGAGGTGGATCTGATCAAAACACCCTGGGAAGAGAAGACATAAAGCTCAAAATGAGTGCCTTCACACAAGGTGGCCGTATCTTGGCATCGGACTTAGCCGAACATCTCCGGTAGGTAAAATAGAATTTTCACTCTAATTACGAAAAAGACGCTTTCCCTAGGTTATAGACACTTGTACATTCTGCGGAAAAATTAATAGGCTCTAAATTAGAAAAAATGAGGGACGCATCACGGCAAAAACTTTCTATCAATCAAGGCTAACTGACTAATTGTCTCTTCCTATTCTTCAAAGAGTTGCCAGAGACTCTATTGTGGTTTGCAAGAAGCCTCCTCGATAGAAAAGAAAATGCACAATGCGAGGTCATATTAATAGTAAGAGTACTTCGTTCTTGTCTAAATTTTGCTAGGTCTTCAATCCGTGACTTTCCTGTATATGTCGGCGCAGGCCTATCTCATGTTCAACAGTCTCGTTGCACTGGTTGCATTGACGGTTATTTAAGTGTAAGTCTCTGAAATGACGCAGAAGATGCTTATGGTGAGAGTAGTGTTTTATTCCGTAGTATTGAAAGCATTTAAATGGTTTCGTATCTTCTCTTGTTGGAGCTTCTGTGCTTGATGATCTTTCCTCTGTTGACAAAGAGGGCGCTCCGGTGACAGTGCGGGACGAATTATTGCGCACACTTGTATTAATCCTCGTAGAAGTCGTTTTTTTTTGTATATCGTTGACCTCGGTGTGGCCTCCCTTTGAGAACATCGCAGTACATCCGAACAGCCTTAACAGCCTTGTTTCGACGCATCTACTCTGCCTCCACAGAAAGAGTCGTCGGCTAGGTTGTTAATTTTTCCAGCAGAGATATTTGCTTAGGGAGTATATGTTCCTCTGTAAGAAGTATCTCTTTTGTTTCTTGCTTATAGAGTATACCTTCAGCGAGCTGCCTTTTGATGTCAGTGACAGCCTGTTGGCTATCAAATTCTTCCTGTATATACTTCCGGAGGTTGTAAAAAAGTCTATTACGCGTATTTGTGACTTTTTTCTTCAACTGATTAAGCCTTTAGAGCTGAGTTGTACTCTTTTTCTTATCTTGATAAAGCTTTTTAGAAAATATATCTCGTTTTTTAATTGCTTCCTTAAGCTTAGAATCTTCCTCGACGCTTGCTTTCTGCTTATCGGTAAGCTTACGAGGCCTCTGCGTATCTATCTACCTTCCTATCCTAGTAACCGCACGTATTATCGCAGAATCAGGCTCTAACCCCTGTATTAAAGACTGTATGTCCGTGCCAATACGCCGTGGTAGGTAGTGATTAAGGAAAGTCCGAATATCGGTATATTTTATAATTAAGTTTTGTTGTGCGTTACTAACAAGCCCTATGAAAGTTATTCTCTGAGTATATATACCGTGCTGGCCTTCATCCACAATATTAGGTATAAGAAAACTTACTACTTTCGTTTAAGATAGTGCCGCCGCTGTATCTGAAGTGATGCGTAAATAGACTCTATTTGAAGCCAGTGATTTCTCTGAACGTTTAAAATTAGCTGGATAGAGAACTTTTTGAGATGGGTTGATTATAATGGTATTTTATCAGGCCTTTGATCCCTTTAATTTTGCAGAATATATAATTCTCAGATTTTTCAGGCTTGAGTGGTATCTCTATCTGCTGCCGATCACTCTCTAAAAATAGACGCCTTAGATCACCTATAGAGCGAATCCTAGGAGCGCGGAAGGCGTTGTTGTAGAACAATATACCTAGTAAGAAGGTATGCGGGCTTAACATTAATAATGGGTTATATATGATCTTAGGAATCAGGAAAGTATTTCTAGAAGAAACGTTATAATACCAGTTACAATGATAAAAATTATAGATGATCTATACCCTTATGTGATTTTTAGGTATTTCTTCGTGAACTTGTAAGTAAACTTTAGTAAGATCCGCGGCGGACCCCCTTTAGGATTACGTTGAATTAAGCAGAGTATATGCTTGTATTGCAAATTTTGTATGGCGTTGATTCGATTTACAGTAAAGCAAGCTATCAGATTGTACAGATATTGCTGTATTCTCTGTAATCCGGTATAAAATCTTTTTTTCTATAGTTCGGAGCACTGTTTTCTAGAGAGGAACTAAGTCCTCGATATACATCGGCGTCTTTTCTTTCTCTTTGGTATCCAGTCCTGCCCGTAGGATAATTCTCTGAATACTCTGTATAAGTATAAATTAATACTATTATAAAACGAGATACGGGCAGATTTTAAACCTTTCTTATCCTTTGACCTAGGCTCCTATCTATTGGTTTTTTGTTGACTTTCTCGTAATACCGAAGAAAGTTCTTCTAATTAGTGTCTAGGGTACTAGCCTTTTTGACTCCTTTTGCCTGTCGACCGTTCTTACCGCGCCGGACCTTTAAGCGCCAGCGCAAGAACTGTATGAATTCAGTTTTACCGGCTGCTTTGAGAGCGTTATTTGGATTCGCCTACTAGGAGTTGATGCTAATTCCGCCTTTCTTATACTGCTTCTGACAAAATCTGTTTAGACGTTAGTTAGCGTAAATTTCATGATTGATTGTATTTCTATATACCTTTCCTAAAGATCGTATATTCCTGCTATATTCTCCTTGGTTGTGTCGGCATATCTATTATCCTCGCTTTCTAAGATTGTATCGTCTGTATTAATATTAGGATCAGTCTCAGAGCCGTCCTTACTGTCGATCTTATCGGACTTATTAGGGCTTAAGGGGTTCTCTGTGATATTAGCCCCTACTTAAAGCTTGGTCGGATTGTTTTGAGATTTTGTAATCCGATATTTTACTCTTTTATGCAAAGTTTTAGGGGCCTTATTATAGTCTGAGTCGCTGCTAGAAATAGATTTTGCAGGACGCTTGCGTATCCCCTTATGAACCCGAGGAATATAAGAGCTTTTTCTGCAATAGTGTGCTGTAGAGCGATCTGGGTTGATGAAGCCACTTTCCCAGCCAGAGCTACTAGTGTCTGATTCTGTTTGAGATGATTCGAAACCTGCGCTCTCGTTGTAATCGTGGTCTCGGTTTGTTACTATCTGTATTTGTTAGCTGAGTGACCACGGAAATAGAAGAATGAAAATAATTACGATGGAGTTCAGTTCTGTCTATTATGCGAATCCTAGTGCAAAACAAGACAGCTGCTGTTCGTATCGAATGGGGAGTAAGTGCAGGCGCTTAAGGGGCGGTTGAGAGTGAGTGGACTCTACCGGCACGATCGAAACTTATATGTTTTAAGTAGCTGCTCGCGACGACTTACTTGCAAAGCCATTCCGCCCTTGTGGATAATCTATTTCGGTGGCATGGAACTGAGGACTGGAATCGGAACATTATTGAGACGCTTGGGCGCCTTGGGTGGGTCGGGCTTGCATTAGCCGGTGCGTGCGCGAATGGCGACCGCGGTTGTGGCAGAAGACCTCGGGGCCAACGACGCCATTTTCGGCGTCATTCGACGCCGAAAATGGCAGCTTCCGCCCAAATCGAAAAATACATGGAGTATTAGATCAATATTGAGAGAGTCTGATCACCCTTTACCGTTGGTAGTTTTGATCCTAGAGAGAAGAAAATCAGGCCGAACAGGGGGACGGACGGCAGATATATAGAGATATATATCACTACGATTCTAGTCTTATATACTGAGTCGAATTCAGTACGCCGGCGGGGACCAAATGACCGAAGATATTATCGCTATAAATCAAGCTTTAGGTATATCTTGTAGGCTCTCTCTCTTGTATCTATAGTATATCTTTGACAGTACTACCATTGATACTGCGGTCAGTGTACCCGGCATCACTAGTCAAGAGACCTGATCCCGACGGGTACACGGGGGTTTTCAGATCGTCCAGCAGGGCTACCCAGATGTCATACCTACTGTCCGGTAGCGCGCCACGAGACGAACCGAACGGTGCCATCCGTCCCGATCCCCGATGGACGTAGGATGGAGGAGCGGCGGCGGTCGCGGCGGGGCAGGGGGGTGCCGATCGCCATAGTGAAGGGCCCGCGGGGACGGTGGAGCCCGTCTTATAGGCGTGCTCAGGTACTGGGGTTTGCACGTGACATGGGGTTAGCGTGGCCCTCTTTGGTGTTGGTTGGTTCTCGGTGGCCGGTCGTTGTTTAAACAGCCCCTCAATTAGTTGGCTGCTGCAGGAGTCGTAACAGGTGTCTCTTAAACCTTTTTGACTTAATCTGGAATCCTACCGAGTGCCTTTGCCCTTGATGCTACGATTTGTCCCGTGCGATCGTGTCGGAAATCTACCGTATACGTGCGGTTTAGTCCCCCCTGAGGGTCAGTTCTCTGCCCCGCCGGGCCCAAAAAGTGGGGGCCGTTTGCTACGGTTGGAGAATTCTCTTTATTTGTGGGGACGGCAGGCGGCTCGAGCCTGAAATCGGCAAGAAAGCTTACCTGCTAGGCAAGCTGACTGGGTGGAGAATATTTCGCAGGCGGAAAATAAATAATGTCTCTCTCTCACACAACTTGGCTAAACATTCAAATTGAGGCTTTCAGTGCTTACAGGGCATGATATGTCTCCGAGAATAAGTTACACGCAAATTAGCACCGACTACGATGACCAGCACGTCGAGGTTTCCGACCTTCGTGATGCGTTATCGAGCCTTTCGGAGATGGGAGAGGAGGGAATACAACTTAGGTGGGGTTTCATTCATTTTCGACTGTGTCAAGAGGCTAATGGCTCAGCAACCCAGTCCTCCATCTTCAGTCTCCGATATTGCTATAAACACGCAGAGCACGCCGGCGAAAGTTGAACCTCCTCCTGAATTTCGCGCCTTGACGCTTCTCGACAACGCGCCAGATGCTAAGACAAGACCGGAATGGCAGGACCCAGTGCGATGGTGTTTTTGGGGAAACGCTGCGGTCCTGGTGATAAATATCGCGCTCACAATCGCCGCAGTTGGTGTCTCTGCCTCGAAGCATGACGAGAGTCTCGGCCTTGGGTCTATCATTCTCTATCAAGGCTCCTGCCCAGCGACTCAAAAAAGGAAAATCGGCTTTCATTTGCTGATTAACGTTCTCAGCGTTGTAATGACTGCGACAAGCAGTTACTGCTGTACGATTCTTATGGCCCCGTCCCGAACAGACATTGATAAAGCCCATTCCAAGGGAACTTGGCTCTCAGTCGGAGTTGCGAGTTGGCAGAACTTTCGCAATCTCAAAAGGTCCAGTCAAGCTTTATGGAGCATACTGCTTCTGACATCAATAATAATGCAGATGATGTAAGTGGAACTGAAATTGACGGGCGCTATTAGAGTAATATTTTGTTAAATTTGGACCCTAGCTATAACTCTGTCGTTTACTCCTCTCTCAACGCCAATGCCTATCCAGTGATCGTTGCACCAATGGAGTTTGTCTCGAATTCCAGTATACCTACATCGTTTTACGAAGAACAGACCTGTTGGCCCGACGATGTTCTTACATGGAACATCACCGATCTGCGATCTGGCATTATGAACGGCAGTTTTGAATACCTCAGTAAAGACGAGTGCATCGGCGCCTACGCAAATAGCTTTACGTCGGACAGACGCACTGTTGTTTTAGTGACCCAGGAGCCCATCACCGGCGCGGGCATATCGCTGGCTGGATATGGATACGCAGGGGGTATCGAAGCAACAAATCCGGCGAAGACTGTACTCAGTCCGTTCGGGAACATCGGGGCACTAGACTGGATCTTTGAAGGGCCTGGAGGTATGGTGAGTTTGGATCCAACTGGATATGAGTGGATGTGCTATATGCATTCAACAGGGTCTCAATCTTCCTGCACGGGCACAATTTTACAAGGTTTGGACACCTGGAACGTGTCTTCTCGAGATTGGCCACGATTCACCGAAGTACACATACCTGAACAAAACACAGTTAGCAGGAGTGGATCCAGTTTCTGGGCAAGGCTAAGACTGAGAGTACATTATTGCAAAGCAATATAACCTGGACTCGCAAGGAGGTGGAGGTTTTCACGTCCTTTGTGGGAACCAACCCTCCGCCAGAACAGATGTGGTCATATTTGAACACTACATCTTGGATTGCGTCGGCCGGAACACTTAATGTTTCAACTGAGTGTACACCTCTAAATAAGCTGGCTAATGATTTTGATGCGGATCCATTACGGGAGATCAAGGTTGACCACTGCCTGAGCTTAAGGACCTCTGAAGAATGCCGTTTTTTCTATCATTTGCCTATCGCTCTTGTTATGATCATCTGCAACTTGATTAAAGTTGTTTGCATTTGGCTTTTGCTACGCATCGATCGTCACGACTTGATCCTTACTATGGGTGATGCGATCTCATCGTTTCTTCAACGACCAGACCCGACCACCAAGCAATGGTGCACACTTTCTCCTGAATTTATTGCTGCGGAGAAGAAATGCCCTTGGCACTCGGGAAACAAAAGCTTCGAAAAGGAAGAGCTATGCTCACCAGAGCCACACCCTGGCCTTCTCCCTTCAGAAAATTACAAGAAAAGATGGAACACAGCTACTAGTGGCAAGATCTGGTTGCTCACCATTTTCATACTCGTCCTATACATCGTCATCAGTCTCGCACTTCCCACACTCGCGGTGCAGAATACGATAACCCACCAATTGATCACCGTGCAACCACTTAGTGCAATATGGCAGATCCAAGGCTGGGGCACGATTCAGTCAACCGGTCTACTTTCAAACCTGGCCACTTCTTTCGTCGGCATGGAGCTTCTTGCAAACACACCGCAGCTAGCAGTGTCATTCCTTTACTTCTGTCTCAATGACAACCTCACAAGAATGATTCTCGCAGCCGACTATAACAATTTCGCAATTCACCGACGTCCACTACGAGTCTCCTTCCCGCGTGGGGAGCAGCGATCGACCTGGTATCTGACCATTCCCTACCAATATGCCATTCCCATTCTCACGACATTTACTCTCATTCACTGGTTTGTCTCCGAAGGCCTATTCTATGTTCAAGTCTTGCCGTACAGCATTTATGGAAAGCCAATTCCTTCTGCTGAGTTGGTAACATGTGCCGTATCTACACTTCCTCTAGAACTGGGCCTGTTTCTAATGATCGGTATGTTTATTGTCATCAGCTTCTTAGGTAGCAGACGGCTCAAAGCATCCAAGATGCCCATTGCCCGCGAGTGGAGTGTTGCTATCAGTGCCGCTTGTCATCCGCCTCGTCTTGACCTGGATGCTGCGTTCAAGCCTGTTCAATGGGGCGTAGTTGAAGATGACACGGACGCGTTGTATCCCCATTGCAGCTTCACCTCAAAAGAAGCGAAAGAGCCGGAGGTCAATGTCCAGTATGCTTAATACTTCTGTCGCCTATAATTTAACGTACTTCCAACAATTTCCTAACGTGTTCAATACAAATGTGGCACTAATAGCTCTGTCTCGGTGCTGAAGTCGTCGAATCCAATGTTGGCGTGCCGGTCGCTCATGAAGCTTGCAATCCATTTCCTAGCTACCATCGGGATCCGTCTCGCCCCCCAACGCGGCGTCCAGGCTCGTTTTGTTCACCCCGTTGAAAGCGCCTTTGAGGTCAAATGCAACCAGGGTATCCACCTTGTGCTTGTACCACGCTTGGTTGATCGCACTGGACAGGACCAGCAAGGCTTTCTCAGTGGTCCTGCCCGGGCGCCCGCCGAACTGGCTATTTGATGAATGACCAATGGGCGTTCAATACTTCTTACAGGTTGATGGTAGCCATAGTCATGATAACTTAAAGTTACGCGAATCTCAGATAGTTTGACAGGTTTTCAGTTCGACATAGTACTCGCTGCAATAATCACACAAAGATGGTATAGGGTCCTCGCCAGCCAATGGGAGCGTCATCATCCGACACAGATTCTTTCTTATACCATGCTCTCGGGAGCTTCTGTCCATCAAACTCCAGCTCATCCCAACGACCTTTCTGCTAGGTTGTCCTGTTTAAAATATCCCTACCACTGGTCAAAACGCCCCTTTCTAAAGACCTAGGCCAGAAGTCTGGCTACACCGCCGAATGGGGCAATTCTGCCATCTCATTATCACCATGTTCAAATATATATATCTCAAGCAATATAATAGATATTATCACCAAATTTTTACATAATTTAAATTAATCATTACCCAACATATATAAAAAGAATTCGTTGTCTAGAGCCGCGTATAAAAACCGTAGGCTCGCTGGCAAGCAAGTACACGCGCATGCGTCGATCTAATTAAGCTATCAATTTTATTTTGATCTAGGGCATCCCACGCCTCAATTATCGCCTTTTTGAATAGCTTCCAATCAGCATCAGAGGTGCCGCAATTCAAAAGATTAGGGTATAGCTCATATAATTTGCGTTTGAGCATACGCCATACGGGTTCAATAGGGCTTAGATCAGGCGAATGTGCAGGCCAATCTAACACCTCAATACCGTGACGTTCAAACCACTCTTGCGCCCTATATGAACGATGGATCTTGGCGTTATCTTGCTGAAAGATAATTCCAGGTTCGTAGTGTTGAATAAAACCTTTTTCTAAGACATCAATGTATGATTGGGTTGTATAGCCCCCATTTTGATTCTCTGAAAAGTCACGCTCCATGATCATAAGATTTGTACGCCCCCCAAGCCAGATACCAGCCCAAACCATTTGACTAATATCCTTTACATGAGGCTTAACAAGCACAAGTCCCCGCCGATATGCTTCTCCTTCAAGGCGTGTAACATATTGGCCGTTTAAATTCGGAATACGTTGGACGCTGCATTCGTCAGAAAAGATGAAGTCTTCGAGGCGGGAATTAAGGGCCTCACGGCGCCAAGTTCGACAAAATTTCTTTCGCTTTCGAGCAACTACCTCTGAAATAGGTATACAACGGCGCGCTCTAAATCTCCGAAGACTTTTATGGCGAAGGAATCGCTTAATTGTTGATCGAGATGGATGACCGGGTGTCGTAGCACTAAGCTCACTGAGGCTTTTCCAGGGCTCCCGACGCGCTAGAAGAACAGTATATTTAAATTTTGAGAGGTCAAATGTCCTAGGGGTACCTGAGCGAGGCCTTGATTTTGTGTTGTGTTGTTGTTGAAAGCGTTCAATTGTTTTGTATATCGTAGACCGCGCAACGCCTATATCGGAAGCAATTTTAGTAGGCGATACACCACATTCACGTGCAAATATGATAGCGGCGCGGGCTTCAGATGAAAGCTCTGCCCCAGGCCTTTGATTAGCACCTATTTTGGTACCAAATTGACGCATATTGGTGGTGTATTAGGTGTTTGAAAAGGAGAGGTTGGGGGGTGGACGCGAAAAACGCGCTAAATAATTAGCGTGTGTAGCCAGACTTCTGGACCGCCTTTGTACCATCTTCTCGTCTGTGTTTGTTGAGATCTTCATTGAGTAACAAATGTCCTTTCCCGGTGATTTCGGCCGGGTGATGACATGATTGCATTCCAATTAAATAGGAGTGAGGGTATGTCCGCAGATCCCAATCTCTGGCACCAAACTCAATCAGCGTCCTTTTGATAGAATCTGGCATTTCGATAGTTTTTCCCCTCGGTCCGGCCAGATGCGAAATCCCAGGTTTCGGAAAAGCAGTACGCTGTATTGAGGCAGATGTAGACCGATAGCATATATCGGCATATTTGTATCCAGCCAAAATCCGGTGGCTTTATAAAGTCAGTGTAATTTTCAAATGTGGTGATATTTGATAGTCGAAATTTCGGTCCGGGAAAGAGAATGAAATGCTTACACCTTCGAAATAAGATCCCGTAAGCTAAAATTTCAGATGATTACTCGGGTGGGCGCAGACATACAATATCGGTTCCATCTCCCCATATAGAAGAAGTGTAAACACGACTTTAATACTGAAGATTGCTTCGTCGTTCGAGTCATCGCCGTTGTAGTTTCAATTAATCTCAATATTGGGGGTCTTGAAGAAACGCAGACATAACTCGTTCTTCTTGAGGGATAGGTACGCATTTGTATCGATCGATCAGCTCTGTCTGTATTATGCCCATGGGAGTCTCCCTCACGACTTCGGACTTTTCGCATGTGCCTGAAGGACAAGTTTCGGTTTTGGGCCAATTGTTGCCCCATCGACGAACTGTAGGGGATATCTTGCGAACAATAGCATCATCGAGTATCACATCTGATGTCTCGGGAATTTCATAGTGTTTCTAATACTTCTTTCCTTCACAGACTGAATGTTCATCAAGATTCTTCACAAAAGCATTGACAAAGTGTGTCAAGTCCTTCGCCTGGTAGGTTTTCATTCGCGGGTAAAGATTTGTGGCGAAGTTGTTCCCGGGCGTCGGGGCTTACACTCTAAATTCGAGGCGAGCAAGCCCCATGGGATGTTGTGCGCTTGGTGCGCCATTAGATATGTCCCCGTAACTCTCCGAACGTGTTTCTATGTGAGCTGAGAAGTAGGAGAAAGGGTGCTTAGTTTAATTAGAAGAAAGCTACCCGGCGGTAGACACTTATTCACAGAATTTGACGGCAGCGGCCCGTCCGTACTGTACTGTCCGGTCTTCCCCGACGCGCTGACATTGGCGTGTACGACTACATAGACAAAATGTCATGCATAAATTTTGATATGTCATTCATTGTTGAACTATCAACGCCGCACGGACCAACCGCCTTGAGTTCGATCCAGGGTTTTCCCAAGTGTGTCTGATAAGCCTCTAAGAGAGATATCTACAGAAAAGGTTCTTCAGATAATCAGCGAGATCTACTTTTCTTCGTGGCCGACACGGATATCACATAAGGCATTCAAATCGAACAAGACGCGGAAAAAACAAGCAGTCTGATTTCACGCCGAATCACAAGCCAGACTGTGGCAATCCTGCCAACCTGGACGCAACCCCCGAGCAAGTACCCCCTGTGGTGCGTGACTATGGCTTCCCGATTGTGTCGACTATTCTGACTGAAGACCGTATGCCACACTCACTGTAGATAACGGACGAGCGAGACTTGTTAGTGAAGGCGCCTTTTGAGCGTGTTCTGAGCGTCTTGGCAGACCTTGAGCAGGATGATCCAAGCTAAGCCTTCCAAGGAGCGCGACTCTTGGGTCTCTATCGAAGTCTGTGGAAGTCGTGCGTGTCCAAACACCTCGATGGCGAGAGCCTCGAAAAGAACAACGAAACATCGGGAGAGGCCAACATGGATCCCAAAAATGAAAGAGATGGATTTCAACTCCACTTTGACGAGCAGCAGTCTCGATTGCTTCTTTTAGATCGAGAGCTGGAATTGTCTCGACAGCGATTGATCAGCATACTCAATGACTGGAGCCAGTACTCTCGTGGCGAGCTGATGGGATTGGGGGGTCTGGGGTAAAATCCAGGCATTTCGGGCATTCTTCGTGAACAATCACTCAGTCGGGACTGGCGATGTTCATAAGGTACAGGTTGAACATAGTGCTGGCCCCGAGCCGGTGAAGAATTGCTACCTCCGAAAAGTACTATTAGAACATATCTCAAGGGACTAGAAGCTCGCTACTTAATGTATGGAGCTTAAGTCTTTTCGTACAATCCTGTCGTAGGCGGTCCCCCGAAAATAACCGATCTACTGCAATGCGAGCATTTTGAGCATCCACCAATTGCTCACTACACCCATCATATAGTAAAAGAAGAAGTAACAGCCTGGCATGAAGCTTTATGTACAATAGTGGATAGCAAAATTATATGTTTGTTCCGGGCATTGCCGTTTGAGGAATAACTCCCAGAAATTTATGTCCGATTCCAGGGAGCAATAGTGATTCTGGATAATTTTAATATGATATAACTAACTGATAATCCCAGTAGCCGGGGTCGAATCGTATTTCTTGTCTGCTCCTAGGATAGTATGGTTATGAGGTATGCATTGACGAGCTCCAGGGAGCAAGAAAGGAATTGTAGGCAACCAACTTTTGTCATGTGGGAGCTTGCAAGGATGATGCATTCGAATATGCCTCTGGAATATGGAAAGTATTTATACGCTGGTTCCCAAATGATTGTCTTATTGCCCCATCTGTTCTTACAGTACAGTAACAATTTATTCTGATTCTGGATTAAAACCCTGAAATTGTGCAGCTTAAGCTTCTGGCTAGAAAGATTATAGGTACTTATCTCTAGGTAGAAAGAAAGGGGTAGCTTAGCTTTTAGCAGAATAATTAGGGTAGTATCTTATAATACTTTAAGGCTATCTAGTTTATATATCTAATTAATATATTTAGGGATATAGGGAAGTAGATAATAGGGTATAGCTAGTACTAAACCTAGCGTATATCTAGTAGTAAGCCTAGTAATTATATTATTAGTATTTAAATTAGCAGGGATTTAAGTAAGGGCTGTTAGGCAGAAGAGAGA